GGGTCCAGTCATATGCGTAACCTGTCCCACAAGTCCAGTGCAAAAGTACACTGGATATCATCCATCCTGACTATATAAACCCCAGATGTGCTACTACTTAGGTTGTCTTCATCAACTTCATTCGAATCATATTGAGTATAGCCTTAGAGCTACCCACCTGCCTACATATCGCCAGAAGACATATTATACATATTATACATAATGCGACCCATAATCACCATCTTTTCCCTCGCTGCCCTGTTCAGCGTCACATCCGCCTGCACGCCTGGCACGCACGCATGTGGCGTTAACAGTGAGTTCGATTCCCTAGTCGAGGGACCTACCTGGTATCATGGTTTGGCAATTTTGCGATTGCTTACTGACACATCAAATCGACGCACAGGTAAGACCGGCAAAGAGCATATCATGTATTGCGATAATGGTGTTCCTCGCCCAGTTGCCGAGTGTGGCACAGGAACTCATTGCGACTACCAAAATGGACAACCAGGATGCTTGCCCCTATAGGGCTGTCTCACTTACGGCGTGCTGCTTTCTTGAATCGCAGATTGGATCCATGTGTTGGTGGGCAGGGATATGTTCACAGAGTTTGGGGGAGGGGGGGATGAAGCAAGAATAGCTACTTGCTGATCGGAAGGAAAGTCCAGTAGCTCACTCGATAGCATTCATGACGACTATTCTACAAAACCATAGTTCACCTCATGATCTTCATCCTATTCCAATACAATAAGGATATGGGCCTAGCTAACTCTCTAAGCCTCGGGTGTAATGCCATGTCATCCTGGAAACCGGATGGACCATCTAGGTTAAGATATATATTGAGGCAACCAAATCACATTATCCTCGCCGCAAGCTACCCATGTCTTTTACACATCTACCCATTGCTATCGTCGCACAAAATCGATGTAATTAATGCAGTAGATTTAGCGTATTTAGACTTGCGCGTAAAGACCCGAGTCTTGCAGGCAAGGCGATAACCAAGATGTCATCGGCACTTCCATGGTATACTGTCATGCATGCACGGCATCCATACCATGAGGTGTCGTGGCTAGGTTTATTTATTCCTCAAGAATCATCGCTTACAACCATATCTGACCAAAAAACGTGACTTGGACTGTGTTCTTGAAATCCAGCCCTAAAATCTTACTCGATTTACGGAGGAACCAGACCATCTCACTACCGAACAAGAAGCCAAGAGATGCGATGAACAACCCAATAAGGATCATTTCCCTCCGCTCTTTACTCTGTTGCGAGAGCCCTTCTTGAGCCTCGTGCAGAGTGCTGAAAAGCTTGATGTTTAGCCTTCTCTCCTGGGCGACTATCTCATGTCGCTGTGCGTAAATGCTCGTAGATACTATAGCTACAAATGTCGAAAGTCGCGCGGCTACGATGCTGACTGAACTGCTGAAACGCAACCAGACTGCCTCTGACGGAAGTCCTCTATGGACAGATTCACTTGCCCCGTGATCGTCGACCAGCAACCCATACAGGAATGCCTATGGGATCAAGTATGTGTTGCATGCCAGAGGTGCACTCACACCAGCTGCTGGGGCATGCAGATCGCGTTCAAAACGGCAGGTGTCCACCATGTGCAGCATGGGCCATCCGTCTATAATTATAGACGTCAGCCTGGCTGGGCTCAGTCACACTTCCGTTAGCAGTTATACCGACAGAACTTTCCATGGCATGAAGCGACAACGTCCACATAGAGCATGAGCTCCAACGACCCGCGGCGCTGCCGCATACATATACGACCACCCCGCTAATGAATTGTTACCGCGACACACCGTAGTTGAGGTGAAGACCGCTCGTGGAGCCTATCTCCATGTTGAGCCTGTTTCGCACGATCCGTCCGGAGGTGAATGGTAAACTGTTAGCCCTGATCAGCGAGACGGGAAAGATGTACGCGCAAGGTGTGGTGGTCTGGAAGGAGCTGAACGCAGTCCGACGTGCTATCGCGAACTAAGCTATCGAAGTCGATGGGGACTTAGTCATTATTGTGGACGTCTTTCGATCGGTAGCCGCGCAGGGGGAGGGAAGAATGTGAGGTACTTGTGAGCGGCTTCTTGGTGCCATGTTTATGACATCTCATAAAATAGTGGAGACTGTCGGACGCGCTGAGTTTGACGCGACATGTCACATCGAATAATAAACAATAGCTTTGGAAGCTCTCAGTCCGTGCGCAAAGACATTCCTGAATTGTTTGGAAACCCTGCTCTTTTGGTCCACAGCACCCACCAGGTTGACTCCTGGGTTAAGCCTTCAAAGGAGTGGGCTTTTTTAATGGCAGTAATACCCAGTCTCGTTTATGCCACTTATTGCTTGTAAGAAGGTCCTCGAAAGATCTTACGCGCGTTATCAATAGGCAAAGCGTCCGAGGACTTTAGAATAATCTGATTTACGTGGTTCTCAAGCGTCACTTCCAACCAGCGCCCATTTCCTTGTGGCTTGCTATCAAGAGAGCTGGGGAAGAACACACACACGCTTGGTCAGACAACAAATTGGCAAAACACAGTGCCTGGTTTGTTTGGACGGTTTCAGAGAGAATCTCGCGACAATGGTAGCAATGGACGGGGCAAGGGATACATATTGAAAGTTGGAATGTTCGGTTGTTCTGAATCACTCATGTTCATAACAAGGCGTTGAATTCTTGTTTTACCGTAGTAATGCCAAGGAAAGAGAGGATCAACAGCTGCCGAAGCTTGTGCTCAGATCGCGGTCATGTTGATGTCAAGAGAGTATAGGATGCACAAAAGAAAGTAGACCAGGATTATACAAGCAGAAAATAAACGGCAAAGAAGTTTAAGATCAAAGAAACTGATTTGGGTATGTTGTGGTAGAATATCAAGTATCTATGGTCCAGTTTATATTTGTGAGGACATATTGGCGGGGAGGATATATATATATATATATTGTCGTTCGGCAGATGTGCAGAGCCCACCATGTCGGACAAATATATATACTTCATCGTGACGCTGAAGAAACACTGATACTACGAATATCGACAAAGCAAGAATGGCGGACTGACGGGTCCAAGGATTTACATTAAATTTACTCTAGTTAGACATCATGGAAAAGTCTTATTACTTTAGAGACAGCAATTATTCGTAAGCACCGATCGCCTGCAAAGTACGCCGTTATATCCCGATTAAGTTTGAGAAAGGACAACTGCTCGCTGGTCAAATTTGGAACGCTAAGGTATATGACATTTGCCTGTCAGACCGGCCTGGCCTTCTCTGGCCCCGACAATAGAATAAAAAAACAATACAAAAATGAAAAGAGTTAAATCGGGAAGGGAAGAAGCAAACTGTACCATTTCCGGGCTAGATGTATTGCTACTGGTCGAAGATGAGATAGGTGGTGCTACTTATTTCCTCATATGATATTCCAAGACTGTGAAGCTAGATTATCCTATCTTAAAGCTAGATACAGCCGTGATTGAACGCAGTGGGGTGGGTCATGTCAAGCGGTGACAAGCATTTCCCAAAGAAGAATAAAATAAATAAATCAATGAAGCAGAATTAAAAAAAAAAGGCCAAGTAGGAGAACTAACAAGCAACGTGCCGAAGTGGGTGCTTCCCGGGCTACAAGCTTATGCCTTCGGCAAGGCAGAATCGGGGGACTGTGCACCCAGCCAGCCATGGCAAAGTGGTACATACTTGAAGGTGGTAGACTCGTATCATCCTTTCTCCGTGGAGACCCTTAATTTCGCCTTTCCAAAGGAGAGACATTTTTGTCCAAGCTCCACTCTACGAGGTAGAGTCAACGGCATCGCATCGGGCAACTCTAACGCTCTTGTCAAATAGCTCACAATGGCGCTACATGTGCAGAATCAGCATGTATTCAAGTCAACAGCTGAACGAATCCTGGTTAGATGTAGCATGGTCCATCACACTTATTGTATGTAGTAATGAATGCTGACGATCGGCATCCCCGTCTGCATTCCTATCCGCTTCGGTGTCACAGGAGGGACATTCCATAATTGAGAAAACGAAAAAAAAAATAATGGAATTAAATAAATCAAGAGAAATTACTTGCATACAAGCAAGCTTGGACAGCAATTATTTACAATTGTAATGATCCTTATAGCCGTTCAAACTGTAGAGTAATATTTATGCAATGGTGCTGTGTGTAAGTTGTGATGTGGGGAGCGATATGCGGGCCGTGATAGAAAGCTCATCAGGCTGATTCAGGCATCTCTGGTTCGGATGGTCCGACAGTGTACCAGCGACAGTAAAAATCTCAATAGTCCAAGAACGGAAAGACGCTTTGTTTCTACCCCTTGGGAGTTTCATTGCGAAATTCTAGCATGGGTCCAATCGGCTTGTTGTTGCTGTCCATGGCGGCTCGTCGGAACTGGAATGTAGCCCTAACTAGAATCCAAATAGTCGGATTCCTCGGGTAAAGGAGCCACTGCCCATAAACAAAGACATAAACACAATAGAACCACACACGAATAACAAGGAAAAGGATAGGATAGGATAATAGGTATATTTGAATGAGGGGACAGTGCGCAATTCAGTGCGCACTCGCGCTCACGGAGTGTTATCTGGTAAAGCTCATGTTGAGCAAGGCAGAGGAGAACCGGCGCTATTCGAATATTGGATGTGGGCGACAGCATAACTCAAGGTAGAGGTAGGCTTTTTGTGACAAGGGGCAAGGAAATGTGGACCAGGAACCCCCTCGTCCTCTTGAGTGATGCCCTCGGATCTGTTCGTCTCTCTATCTGAAAACTGGCACCAAAACTGGATTCTTGAGTCGTCGTGCATTCTCGGATCGACACCCCCATATTTCGAGGGCAAACAATAGCACAGTGGAAACAGCCAAACACGGCAACAAGCATTCCATATCACATTCGGCTAAATGATGGAAAATGAATCCGCCAACCTGATGTATTTGTAAAAAGCCAGGAAGCGCCCGGCGTTCTCTTTGCTTCTGTTCTCACCTCCCAAATTGGTATAATTAATGCTGCTTTGATATATGCCACAGAAACCCCGGTAGCCATGCGAGCGGTAGAGGTGTCATTTGATAGCGGCCCGGTCGCGACGCCCGGTCGATACGAGTCACTGGCAAGGCGATTCGTTCGGAAGTACAATGCACGGCAAGCAGCTGCTAGTGCGGCGCCCGTGGCGAATAGTGGCTACAGTCAAAATGGGCAGTATCTAGGAACGGGCTCCCAGGTCTCCCAGGGCTCACAAGGCGTACAAGCTTCACAGGGGTCCCAGGGCTCACAGGGCTCACAGGGCTCACAGGGCTCACAGGGCTCACAGGGCTCACAGGTCTCTCCAGTCTCTCCAGTCTCTCCAGTCTCCCAGGGCTCACAAGTCTCACCGGGCTCACCGGGCTCACAGGGGTACCCGAATTCCCAGGGTTCACAGGGCTCCTGGGGTCAGACCTGGGGAGGAGCGCAGAGTCCTGGTCAGAGCGTTGCTGGACAGGCACTGGGAGCCAGCACAGCCATTCAGCAAGTTGCAACCGAAAATACCGGCCAATACACCTGGAGGCCCAACGGTGAGACGGCTCAGCTACAGACGAGCACTGCAAGCGTCGCTACAAGTAGTCTCAGTCAGTCAACAGCCACCAGCCAAATGACGACTACCAGTCAGACGAGCAGCACTACTACCCAGGCGACAAGCACGACGAGTGACACGACAACCACCCACAGTAAATCCAGCAGTACCAACACTCAACCGACGACACTGGAGACTCGCGTCTCTCACAAGACGACCGCCACAGCAACTAACGCTGCACATGACATCGCGCCCACCAGCACCGGCACCGGGCATAATGGAGCTAGCAAGCTGAACACCAGCGCGTATGCAGCGGTTGCAGTTTGCGCTGGGGTCGGAATCATAGCCGCGTTTATCCTGTTCTCGTTATACCGAAAACGGCGACGGGCCATCGCAATAGCCAGGGCGAAAGAGTTTAGAAGACGACGAGGAGAGGGTCCGAAATCTGGACATTTGGAAACAAACAGCAGCGTCAATACCTTGCCGCAGCTCTTCCTCGCGAGCAAAACAGCACTATTCAGTGTGGTTTCTCTACGCTCATCCAATGAGAAGGATGCTGTCGGCAGTGATCGCAGTGACACGGAAAAGCAGATAGGATTAAACCCCCCTACTCAGGATCGGAAGTCTCAACTCGGTACGGTGACTGTGGCAATGCCGGCTGAGAGCCAGAGTGATAGTGGCAGCATTTCCGACGCCAGCACCGTCGCCGGTACTCCCTCTCGTCATCCAACCTTCCGGCAGCCCACTGAACTCAATTACGATGACTGCAGTACATCTGACGAGAGCTCGGACGGTGGTGTAAGCGAGCAACGTCCAGGGCTTTACAGGCGGTTTACAGAGCGTGTCGCAAACATTCGGACCCGTTCAAAACAGCATAAACCAGGCCATCGCCACTGTCTCAGCGCACCAAACGAAATCCTGACCGATGGCTTTGCCTCTGCCGTAGTGCAGCCGACTCATGAGATCGATACCGATCGCCGCAGTACCTCTGACTATGATACTGATCAGAGTACACGCGGCCAGCCTCATGGAATCCAGACCAGGGACAACAACCATGAGTCGCACAGCACGTCGGACGATGAAGCCGACAATACCACGACGTCTCCCAATGATTCACGCACTACTTCCGGTGACGAGGGCGACCATATTGCCGCCTTTCAGCGTCCGCCACTGAAGACGAGGGGGAGCTTCAAGGAACGTGTCACCGGTCTCGCCAAGCTGTCCAGGATGCCGAGTTTAAACTCCCTCTACAAAGGGTCCGCGCCGTCCTCGATCGAGGAGAAAGATCGCTCAGGGGCGAAACTATCCACCATTCCCGACGATGAGTTGGAAGACAACAGGCTTGTCGCCTCCTATGCGCCTTCCACCTTCAAGACATATTCCGTTGACATGGAATTCTCTCCTGCCAACGACAGTCACGTTAAGCTAGCTGTAGGCCAGTCAGTAATTATATACCAGGTCTATGACAACGGTTGGGTATGTGATACTATATCCCCCCTTCAATCCCTCTTTCGTTCCGTGTGCTAATGCTTCTGCCAAAGGTCCATTGTCTCAACCGCGACACTGGCCAGGATGGCCTGGCACCCCGAGCCTTCCTGTCGATATGGCCAACAAACAGACCCTCGAGCAACAGAGCCGTCAGCGATGTGACGTTGTACCCACCCCAGATGAACGCGTCTGCGACGTCACTCGGCTCTTCACGGCCTATGTCACCAATCACTCGCTTTTACAGTCACCGTTGTCCTTCTTCACCAGCAGTTTAAGCTGCCCATGCCATGTATGCACTCTCGATACCCACAATGTCCTGCATCGTCGCAGTACATTTTTATCAGCATCGATTCTTGCAGAGCTTGAATGATGCGCCTCACTCATTACGCCCCTTTCCTTAATGTTGTATAGTAATACTAACCCTTCTTCGCAAGTATGTTAATTGGCTAGCGAACTTTTACTTTGTAATATCAAAACTGTTGATAGATGAGCAACGCCTTCTGTAGATCCTGTACAACCCCACGCTCCAATCGTCTTCGTCTGCTCCACGTAGCATACCAATGCGCCATTGTATAAGACAACTGTGGTTCCTACTTCCTGCCACAGCTTCATTTGTGTTGGAGCCAGCGACCCTTTCGCCGTTTTTGCGCAAAGTATTGCGGTTACTCGATCAAAATATGATAAGACCCCCTAGAATCTACGCCCAGCCCGATATATTCCGGCCATTAAGATCCCAACCACAATGGCTAGACGTCCGCTTCACGTGCATCACTTGTACATTATGTGTCAGAATCCCCAGGCGCCGTGTTTGTCATCTGGTCAATGGTGTAAGACGCCGTTCACTAGCATTCTTGAGCCCTATCTCCTCACTAGCTGCTATCTCTACAGCCATAGTAATCGATAAGCCATCCTTGACCCCGGAACCCTCGCTACCCGTATCCTGCCCCACTCAATAAGCAAACCTCTGAGGCTTGAGTAGATAACTATCAAATCCTGCAGGATTGTGATATCATCCCAGAAACCCCGAAGCTAGCGCCGTGCTCAGTCCACGTAAGATTACATACCATGTGAGTCAGTCCAGTTCTGGGATATTCGGCGTGGTTCTAGAAGATGCGTCTGAGCCAAATTAGAATATAAAGAAGGAGTGAAAAGGTTTGGGATGGAATATGATATTCGAACGACACAGGAAACAAGCAACAGTCATGGCTGAAACAACTGAACAAGCCCAAACCATCCACGGATCCTGTCTCTGCGGGACAGTCAAGTACCATGCCACTCGGGAACCAATTCTCAGAATACTCTGCTACTGCCAGAACTGTCGGAAGTTTACGGGTTCGCTGGGAATGGCTAATAGCATATATCGCAGAGAAGTAAGTCCGTCATCAAATGATATATGAGTAAACCACTAACATCATATAGAACATAACCATAGCCCAAGGTCACGACACCCTTCGCACTTACAAGGATAGCGCAACCCATAATGGCTCCACGGTTGAGCGATTATTCTGCGGGAATTGCGGGTCGAATCTCTTCTGCGAAAACAAGGAAAAGGCTCCGGATCTCTTTATCGTGGCGTCGGGCACGATGGATTTGGAAGCTGGGCAGACTTGGGTGCCGGTGGTAGAATTTTACTGCAAGGACAAGCGGGCTTGGCTGGACACGAATGCGGAGACGAAGAAATATGAGGAACTTCCGAAGACGTTTGACAATATCTGATTATAATCGCGGTGGATATCCGGAGTATGGGATGCTGATGTTGGTGTTTGTGAGAGCCTTTGTATAGTGAACTGGGCTTGTTTGGGAAGTTGAGGTTGTTTATACCAGTATTTATTTGACCTTAGGGCAACGATCTGATGTTTTGTCTTAGGGAATCACGCCGACTAGGTGGTGGTGCTGTCTCTTCTTGTATATTTCCAATCATCTTGAAGGCATAGAGATATCAATGTAAGATGAATCTGTTCGTCAAAGATGAAAGACTGGAATTTGAGGAAATGCGGTGGCTGTTATATTGGTCATACCTATAAGACTATCGCAACATCATGGCTCGGATTACGACGAGCAGGACTTCTTGCGCGCCACCATCAGGTCGATTGACTCTACCGCAGACTGGTCTCCTGCCCGAGGGTTTGATGTAAAGCTTCCTTCTAGAAAAGCCGACAAACTGTATGGTTGATTTTAATGCTTGAATTTGAATTACATGAAAATGGGTTCAGCTTGCACATAGTACTAAATACCCATGATAACTCAACATTGAAACAGGGAACCGTACGCAGAAAATGAACCGAACGTACAAAAGAGAGGCACTTGAAACTTCAGATTTGAACGAATGGTGCTCCTCTAATTACCGTATTAGCTGGAGTATTTTCACGAACGTTCCTGACGACAGCCACGGTTTCCTCAAGCCGTGACTTGCACAGTAAACTATGCGACTAGACCATCTCCAACCTTGGCAAGAGGTCACAACTTACTGACTCTTTGCTGTTCCTCAGGCTTGTGCTCGGGCGGTCTTTTGGATATCCTAACTTTTGCGTGTTTAGAGGTAGTGCGGTCGAGAAGATAGCGAATGTGTTGCTCTTGCCTCGGCAGCAGGTCGCAAAGTTGGACTCGGGTGAAGAGCTGAAGTTCCTTTCGTTCTTCAGGCGAGAATGCTTTTGATAATTCCACAGTTCGTTGTTCTGAGAAGGCATACGAGGTGCCGAGTAATCTGTAAAGGCGAGATAGATAATGCTGCTTCGGAGACTTCCAACCATTTGGATCCCATACCAGTCTCAGGTCCCAGGGGATCGGCCGGAATCGCACTACTTGATGCCACCCGTCGCTTGTTTTATATCTTGCCCTCTTACCGCTCACAGCATGGATGGCACCAGCTGTACCGGCAGCAGCGTGGCTAATCAGCCGGTCGGCAACGACGTCAACAGGGACTTCATCTACGGTTGCCTGTGAGTTAGGGTCGGCAAAACTTGTCCCAATGCGCACATCCCCAGACGTGCTCGATGCCATCCCAGCCGTAAGCACAAGCATTGGAGCGGATAAAGGGAGGCAAAAGCCGGGATATGGTACACTTTGAGAAGGCCCAATAATAGATGGACGAACGATGAGCAACTGGTTCATCGCCCCATGGTCTTGAAAGCGATGAACTAGTAGCCGCTCAGTGAGATTCTTGGCGTACGAGTATGGCCAAGGGAATTCATTCGCTTCATAAACCTTGCTCGTGCCGTATCTTTTGACCTCAGCCAGTTCCTCTAGGGCGCTAGCTGAGCTGTCCGGGTCATAAATCCGCTCATCAACCTCAATATCACCTATGTAACTTGGCTGGCCGTTTGCGTATGCAGTGGAAACATATACGAACCGGTCAAGCTTTGGACATGAGAGAGCAAACTCTCCGATCATGTTGCTGGCCAGGATGACGATATCGACCAAGCCGGCCAGATGCTTAGCAAGATGAGTTGAAGATGCCGCATGAATAATAACATCCACATGTGCTCGCACTATGTCGATCGTATCCTTCGGGAGGCCCATGTCTGGCAGGCGGATATCGCCATCGAATACTGTGAGTTTTGAGGGGTCGCATAGAGTTTGGATTGTCTCTTCAGATAGCCATTGACTCCAGGTGGATTGCAAGCGCCTACGCACGACGGAGGTTAGCTTTACGGCTGGCGTCATCTTGGATAGAACTGACTCGGTGCCTCCTCTGCAAAGCACGTAGAGGTGGTGGACTTTGCACAGGTTTATCAAGCGACAAATGATTACTGTACCTAGAAACCCCGGTGCTCCTGTCACAAAGAGAGATTTCTTCTCGTAGTATTCCAACATAGTGTATCGTTGTATAGCAATAGATAGACCCGAAGCTAAACCCGAAAGCAAATCAAACGCGCTTCAGGTGATGGAGAGAGAGATTGGCAAAGCTGTGCAGTCAAATGGCTGATACGCTTATCCTATATCTTGTCTTCCCAATATCCGACGCTTAGATCTTATGAATGATGAACCTCTGAGCAGTGTCTGTGCATGTACATGGTTTCAGCATAAACAGGAAGCTCTGGAGCTGTTACTTGGTAACCCCCGTAGTTTCTTGGCGGAGAGTTTGAATATCCTTGCTTGAATATCTATACCTTGGTTCTAGAAACAGGAATCCCTCCCGTGCCGAACGTAAACTCCCCGATTTTACATCATCCGATACATTGCCACCATGGTTTGCTCACATCTTTGATGAATCCAACATGGCAATACTTTCTGAGCAATACAACCCACGTGGCTCAGTACGAATGACATCCGGTCCATCCTAAGGTTATCGTGGTCTAGAAGTTCCAGGACTACTTATGAAGCCCTAAAGTTGCCTGCTTATTGCTAAAGCACTTTGGCCGAGAGATAAAACAGCTTCATGGTGGTCGCGTTGGGCTTCACTTGGAATGACTGGACAAGAGGCCTGTTCGAAAACTATACTACCTTGATTATATATGATGTGGAGATCTCATAGTTAATGTGGCGGCGCAGCTTTAGGACGTTGTCCGTTATAGGGCTGAGCTGTCCCCATTCTACGAACCTGTCGTGGAACTGGCTATCTAATACAAGAATGAATAGATTTACTCTGATTTTCTAAGAACAGCAATTTCTTCAGCTCTTTGGATACCCCCGGCACTCCCGGTCGCAATTGCCTTTCTATTGCCTCCATCTTGGACCCACTTGAGCGGTCCAGGGGGGAGACGGTTCTTTGAATCAATCCAGAATAGAGTCTGCCGAATGCCCTCATCGAGATCAGGAAGCATACCATGTTGAAACGCCAATTCGCCTCCAAACTGTTTGGGAATGTTGACGTGATCGATGTATTTTTCCAATGTGGAGTACACCTCCGCGGATTTCAAAATGACCAACTTTTCCGCCATTCGCGGATCCACGAAGCTTTTTAGAACATTCCAGATCAGGGCGAACGAGGACGGGGCGTTGCAGAGCTGTGCAGTTAGTATTGGCTTCGTAGAAAGATGTGTGGCTTACAATAATATGGCTAATCGTCTCAGGATAGCAAGTCGAGAATATCCAGCTAACTTCCTGTGCAAAGTCCCTCAGATTCCACGCCTGCTTCAACGATAGCGCAGACCCATCAACCAGACAGGTCGATTTAGTCACTGGAATAGAACTGTCTGGCCGATCCGTCATCGCCGTGCAGAGCGGCAAAATGAACCGTGTCAGACCATCGTTAAAAACACACGCCCGCTGTGCCATATCCGGAGATGACGTCGCTGATGCATCCCCACATGGCAAATTGCGGGTTTCTCTCCATCGAGTCATGGCTTCGATTTTCATATGAGCTAGGTCGAATATCATGATAGGTTGGCCTTGTTTGTCGCGACGGCCGGTCCAGTGGGGGTACTGCAGGACATGCCTGATCAGAAACGGTCATAGAAAGAGCAAGAGAAAGAGACGTACCAATCGCCTCGTATCTTCATAATCGTCCACAGAAATGGCATTGTAAAACGCGTGCACGTTCCTGTCCGCGTGGAATGTCGTTGCTTCTTGGAACTGCTCGAGAGCATCGTGTGGCTTCATTGCCCGTGCCCGGAGAAAGCGTCTACCCCATTAACTGGGTTTAAGATTGGACCTCAGAGGACCTACCTACAGCAGAGTCGTCTCGTCCTTGATTCCATCCACCACATCACTTTCACTCAATCCGCTCGGTCGTTTCAACAAGCCTTGATCGGTGCATAGCTGGCGGAATGACACCAAGCAGCTGCCTGATCCGCCTTAAGACTATGCATTGTATCATACAATTGAACCTGACCGTTTCTAATGGCCCTATTGCTTCGTATAACCCCAGCCTTGGTTCAAAATCACTACTAACCAGTATTGGGTGTGGGTGTGGGGGGCGGTTATGTGGTGTCAAACGATGTGTAATTGTCAAACTACTGGCGGTGTGCTTGACCTTTACCCGGTATTTATAGTCCGCCGTACCGCCGCCCCTTGCTTCTCGCTCACACCGGGTATAGTCGATATTCCTGCATCTATGCCGCTGTGGTGCCTTGACCGCCACGCATTTCACAGCTGAACTGGACGCCAGAACGATCGACCAATCCGAGCTTGTTCAATGGGATACCCATACAGCCCGTCGGAGTTGAGCTGGCAGGAGGGGCTTTGAAACAGCCGTGGCCCTAAGGACCGACTGAGTACACAACTTCCTTTATAAACAATTTAACTGAATGGATATAGGATAGAAGAATGAATCGAAAAGAATTGAGTGATTAGTGCGCATAGTATATGATAATATAGGCACTACCGAGTTAACTAGTTGGCTCTTAGATCCCTACCCTTTTCGCCTGTCTGGCTCCTTTTTTTCCTTTTCGTTCTTTCTTTTTTTCTCCTTTTTTTATTTTTCTTTTTCTTTTTATCTTGACTAAAAATGGCTTCTGGCAGTCTCTTACAACTGATAAGTTCACCAGTTCTACATGCTATGCTTTCAAGTTCATCGAAAGCTCGTTAGCCCAGATTCTATCCCCTTGGATCCAAGATGGAGTCCCCTTCTGGCACCGTACCTCGAGAACGGCCTGATTCATGCGACGAAGTACAGCTCTGGGGAAATCTGCAGGCATGTTGCCTTTTTCATCCATCATATTGGTCCTCATTTGGGTCCTGGTCCATTGCTTAAAGATGGCTATCAACCGCAGTATCCGTCGTCCATGACCCGCGACCTGCCGCTGTTTGAGCTCAGTGTGAGCTGGAAATATCCAAAGCAACAAGGCAAGGCAATTGTTCGATTTGTCAACGGGATCATTCCTCCAAATAGAGAGAGAACTCGTATAGCGTTGCTAGTACAGTCACAAGAATTGATCGAAAGCTCTACGGAGTATTGCTGAGGATACCTCCAATCTTCACTCTCCATGTCTTGCCAGAGATCTGGAAAGCCGTCTCTCACACCCTGGAAGCCTGTGAAGCCACCATCCACCCTAGTACTTGCTCCCAAGGCGGTCCATCCTCTACCTTTATCGGCTTCGAGTTAAAGGAGTCCGTCATGAGCGGTAAACTTTACTGGCCCCTTCCCTCATGTCTTGATGTCCCTGGAGTCATAAACATAGTGGACCAGGTATTCAGTGCCAGCTCTGCAGTCTTCAGCGCAGCCTGGCACCAGATCCGCGAGCAGATCCGCACTCATCCTGACACTCTGATACCGTGCATGATATCCATTGACGCGACGGCCATTCCAGACCCCAGAATCATAATCTACGTGCGCCGTGACTTCCAGAACGAGCGATACTTTGGCTCATGGGAACATCATCTCCGCTTCAATGACTGCGTTGCCTATTTAGAGAACTTCCGATCAATTTGTTGTGGTCTGTGGAATGCGCTGGCAACAAATCCACCCGAGTGGGCCCAGTCGCGGCCAGACGCAGGATCAAAGATCTCGATGTTTGCAAAAGAACTTGGGATTCGGCCAATCCTCATTAACACAATTACCCGCATAGTTTTATCCATATTCTCTCTCAATCAAGTCTTTGGACGTAGCGGGGATCACGCGGCACTAAGTCATTTTTTCTAACGGTCGGCAGTACGAGTGGTACCACCTTTCTGTGGGCTTCGTGGAGATCCGGACGGATAGTGAATAATGGTGGTTGAGCGATCGGCGTGGTTGTCAATGCTGTTGTCCAGATCTAATTCTTTTCATTTGGTATGCAACAGCTGATCAGGAGCTCGGGCCGGGATTTCAGACTCCCCGATCAAGTCTTACGTCCATCTTACAAATGTCTCCGTATAACGTAATCGGTAAACGAGCTGCGCACGCAACCGAGCTGCGCACCACCCGCAATATGAAAAATTAAAACGATTAAAACACCATGAATTCAGACTTCTATATTAAGATGAGTAGTTCTATCGATTCGGGCAGTTCGTAATTTTATGGTCCTGTATATTACAGCCAGAACACCTAGGGGGTGCGCGTCTAGGCCCCGATTCAGTAGGCTGAGTTCCGTCTCCCTGAATAGCTTTATCTGCCTGAGCTCTGCGCTCTATATAGATTCGGGTGTCAGATACTGATGTACCCCCTTCAAAAGCAATCTGCTTAGTAGAGCGCTTTCGCTTTTTAGACTGCCTTTTATGTAAAGTCTTATACTGCTCAAGCTGATGTTTAAATAGTGTCACACTATTTATAGCTTGCTCAGTGCCTTTAATTATCTGATTTATATAGGCTTTAGTAGGTGAATCGGGACTGTGAGACCGATTTTTAAGCAGTCTTTTAAGTGTAGATTCTGACTTTTTCAACTGCTTGACTGTATGAGGTGTTTTAGGTGCTGAGCTGCCTCGGCTGCTTGGTCTACTACCCGGAGGTGTAGGAGTATTGAGCTGAACTGCCAGCTGAGATAGAATGTATTCAGGATTTAGAGGAACTAGGCCGGTAGCTCTAAAAGTACTATAAATATTGCTTCTAGTAAACGTCTGTGTACGAGCTTCAGGATAGGCGTCTAAAAAGTTAAGTTTATCAATATAATAAAGCCCGCAGTGTATTTTAGATTTAACGAGGCAGCCGTACGCGCGTTTTAAAGGTGAGAAGACAGTAATATCAAGCGGCTGAAGTCTGTGAGAAGTGTGAGGAGATATATATATCGGTATAATATTGTTTTCTGAGTATATCTGATTAAATTGAGGTGTCAGATGACTATTATGGCCGTCTAAAATAAGTAATCGATATTGTCTGATAGATCGGTCTGTAGTGGCCGGTATAAAATAACCCTGCAGCCAATGTAGATCTATCTTATTACTAGTCCAGCTATTAGGACTAATCTCAATCCTCCAATCAGATAGAATCTTTCGATCCTCATATCAGGCCTCTATATATATCTTATCTTTGAATATAATGCAGGGAGATAGAGCCTATCTATTAGAACTAATATATTCTATAGAAGTGATCTATTCTCGGTTACCTGGCTGCAATAAAAACGGCTTGCCTAATATACTAGATCTAGTAATTACTTTGGTAGTAGCTATTAGGTCCATTGTAAATCCGGTTTTATTGAAATTGTAGATATTGGATGAGACTATGCTGTACTTCTGAATAGTCTTATTTATCTGCTGAAATCAGGTATTTAAGATTTTTGGATTTTCTGCTTTGGTATGTTGATAGTTGTAGCGGTGTGCAAAGCAGGTCTTAAACTCAGGTGTATGCTTAATGAAGTTATATATCTATTTATCCTCTATAGTAGTAGAGGAAGAAGTAGTATCTCGTTTTAAAAGTAGGATACTGGCCATTTTGTGTACGTGTGCTGGCCGAGGAGGTGCTCCACGTTTATCTAGTGATATAATCCACTGCTTAAGCGATTTCTCTTTACTAATAGTCAATTTATAACCGTTGGCGTGTATATCGCCTCTAAAAGAGACCTCTTTTAGGCGACTGTGTAGGATGGACTCGGGTAGATTGAACATCTCAGCTGCCTTCCTAAGGCTACTGAATTCATTTTTTTTTAGGGCCGATATAGCCAGTAGGATTCGGCCTTCTTGTTCAACGCGTGATTTTGATGATTTAGGTATTTTTGGTGGTATGGCTGATGTTTAGATCGTCTAAGAAATTCAGGCGCGTCGAAAACGCGGGTGGTGCGCAGCTCGGTTGCGTGCGCAGCTCGTTTACCGATTACGTTAAAGTCTCCGAGCATTAATAATATTCCCGGCCTACTCTATACAAGACAGGCAAACGGCGTGTCCAGGGTGAGGAATCATTCTGGTTACGCTATACATGTATATTCCGAGCATGTCATCAATCAAGAACATCCTCGTCCTCGGGGCTGGGGAACTAGGAATGCAAGTACTGCTGTCCCTCGCCCAACATCCTCGCTTGAATGACATCGTGGTTTCCGTCCTGCTACGACCTTCCAGCATATCATCCACGCGACCCCAAAAGGTACGGGAGCTCTCGCTACTTCGCGAGCACAACATCGGGATAGTTTCCGGAGACCTGGTTACGGACTCTCAGGACTCACTGGCCCAAACCTTCCACAGATACGATACTATCATCGGCTGTACAGGCTTTGTGGCCGGTCGTGGCACACAGATCAAACTAGCAGAGGCTGTCCTCGCCGCTGCGGTCCCTCGCTATATCCCTTGGCAGTTCGGAGTGGATTATGACATTATTGGAAGAGGATCCGCACAGGATCTCTTCGATGAGCAGCTTGACGTTCGCGAGCTCCTTCGCTCCCAGACTCAGACCCGATGGACGATCATTTCCACGGGCATGTTCATCAGCTTCCTGTTTGAGCCTTCCTTTGGTGTAGTCGATCTCAAACATAACTCAATTTGGGCCTTGGGTAGTTGGGACACTAAGGTTACTGTGACTGCGCCCGAGGACATTGGAAAGCTCACCGCGGAAATCGTTCTGGGCTCGGAGTCAGATACAGCATTCAATAACCGACCAACTTTCGTTGCTGGCGATACCGTTAGTTATGCAGAATTGTTGCAGATAGTGGAGGAGGTGACAGGGAGGACTTTCGCAAAGAGTGTACGGACGGTCGAGGCGGCGAAGGCCGATCTTGCAAAGGAACCAGATAATTCACTATACAAGTATCAGGTGGTCTTTGGGGAGGGCTGTGGCGTTGCATGGGATATGTCTACAACGTGGAACCGTGAATCGGGCGTAAATGTTTTGTCAGTCAAGGAGTATGCAGGTCGGTACCTAGGTTAGTATCCAGGTGTTGATCATCAGGAAAAGGGGCAATCAGAACGCCCCCCGAAGGCGGAGCCAGAATATGATAGCTCCTGGAAATATCCCTTTAAACAGTATAAACCTTGGGATCGGCATTCATCTCATCAAAGGATCAGCAAGCCCTAGGGGCAAAATCTGAAACATGAACAGCTAAAAGGGGATTGGCGAAGGATAGGAGTGATCGCCAGGGTCAAGCCACACAGGTTTGTCTTCAGCTCGATGAGCGAGTGATTGGATCCTAATGTCTAACAATGTGGCCACCGTCAATGTATATAAGGGAGCGCAGGATCGACCTCAGTTCAGCAGCCCAGAACCTCCACAAGTGCCACCATAAGCACCATATCCCACTCTACCCGCGCATTCTCCTCACGATCCTACCAAAATGAAGTTCCCCATCGCTGCCATTTCTCTCTTTGCCCTCAGCGCAGTCGCGCTTCCCGCGGCAGTTGTTCGCCGTGGCGCCAGCGCCGCTACTGTCAGCCTCATTGGGGAGGTTGAGGGTTTCCGCGCCGACTTTTACGATATGATGGGCCACAAGACCATTGGTATCTTCCTTCCATCCCACTCCTTTCACTCATAATCTAACCGTTCAGGATACGGCCACGATTGCGTTGCAAAGCAGGATTGCGACGGCATTCAGGCACCGATCAGCGATGCTCAGGGCGCTGAGATCTTACAGAAGGACCTCGCCGGCTTTGAGCAGTGTGTGTGCGCGCTGCCAAATGCGAAGGAACTCAACGCCAATCAGTACGGCGCCCTTGTCAGCTTTGCGTTCAACACTGGTTGTGGTGGTCTGCAACAGGCGTGGGCCGGAGCGATGACAAGCAAGAATTTCAATAGCATCTGCGCTGGTCTTCCTAATACCAACACGCTCGATGGATTTTTAAACACCCGTCGCCAGAAGGAGAGTGCGTTATGCTCCACGCCTACCACCCAGATGTCTGGCTGCTAGAGGGGTTATTCTGTGTTTGGGATGTTACGCCTTTCGACGTCTCATTTGTACTTCTATTTCCACTTTCTAGACGCCACTTTTGGTTTCGTATTTGTGTTTTTCCTTTCGTTTTGTGGATATTCTCTGATCGGGTGTTGAATGTGATTGATCAACTGACACTACTTCCATAACCCTATTCTTCGTGTATTACCCCTTTTGCTGCTAGACAATGGCTGTTATAAACCAGAGAACCAATCAACCATGTCAATATAAACGTATCGTGATATTACAAAGCAACTGAGGTTCCTGAAATGGCTCCAAGCACTTCAGTAAAGTCGTTCTATCTTCACTGTTCCGTATATTGTGTTTTAACCCCCCAAGCCCTAGGAAACAACAGGTCAGACTGTGGTGCCAAGCCAATGAGACACGGCAACACGCCGATTGTGACTGCGCCTTGCTCGTTTTGCCACCGTACTCTCCAGTGCCCAAAAATAATAGTCCCGAGTAGTCTCCTATAGTTACCCCCAAGTTGGGGGAAAGAAAAAAGCAAAGTTTAGTTGGAAGGATTCTACTGTAGTAACTGTACACGCCGCGGTATCGTAATGTGTGCTTGTTACTGTCCGCTTTGGGCTGTTCCTTTTGATTGGACTTGTGGTATTCAGGCAGAATTATCGGCCAATGAAAACAGTACTATAATGCCATGGCAGTGGTAAAACTCCGTTCCGTGTCGATCTTGAAAACATTGGCCGCAAGGGGCGTAGCAACAACAGCTACTAACTTACTCGTTACCATGGGTGGCTCTCTATTGTCGTGGTCAGACTAGGACTATAATGAGAGAGGCTGAGTTAAGTTAACTAAATTCTAAGCGAAGCATGTCTTCTCCATTTTCAAAATGTCTGATCATGCGTGCCAAACCTCCCTCCCTGTTGTTCCTCGGACGAAAAGAATTACTCTGAAGATGAAACAAGGTGATTGCAATCGCTTCAAAGGTAGTGGTACATACCCTAAAACGTGGCTCTATATGCCGAATTCTATATAATAATAGTAGTACAAAATAAACAACAGTAGCTCGGCCCTAAACACCCCATTAGCCGTGACATCCTGGATCTAGTGTACCAGAAAACATTGCAATATATATATATACACCTTCTCCCCGAAAGCCTGACATATGCCCTGATATCGTCACACATAGTTTGTCCTATCAAACGGCTACCCTTGACTCCAATTTCCTAACATCACACCCATTAAACGCATTCGTCCCCCGTGGATGATAGATCGTCCCACAGTAGATCGCACTTGGTCTGCCGTTCTGATCCACCGGCGAGCTGGGATCATGTAGGAAAATGGCCCGGAACCGTTTCACATCTTCCCATCTCCCATTGAAATATTCCCCCTTGACGATGGCCATCTCTCTACGGTGGAGCCCATTGTTCCTATTGCAGTTTTTGTGTCGGAATTTGAAGTTCTCATAATTGGAGTAATCATGCGGAAATCCTGCACTCGTGTCAGTATATGCTATAGAAGACTTTTCTGTTCTTTGATTTTGGATTTCTTTTTTCTGGCCGGGTGTCGGAGCTTACTAGCCAGTTGTGTCCTCTGGCGGTCTAGGCTGACTCCGAGGGAAATGGCTCGGTGGATGTCTTCTCCTAGGACTGTGGACTTTCCTGTGTATGCGGGTGAGTATGGATTGGGATTGTGGTGGAGGTGTGACGGCGCGTACCGCATTTGACGCTGAATGAGGCATCGAGACCTTGGATGTTGGCGGGGATCGGGGTAGCCGGTTGCAGGGGAGCAGGTTGCGTGCCAGCGTCACTCAGCGCAGGACTTGGGGGACGCTGGGCAGGAGGCGCAAAATTATTCATCTTGTTAAAGTTGTTAGGGTTCTTAAAGTTGTTGAAGTCTTCACTGAGGACAGGGCTCGGGGGCCGCTTGGGAGGCACTGCGACGGCCAGTGAGATGAGGCTGAGAGCGACGGCGACCTTCATGGTGTTTCTTTTTGTATGCACGAGGTGCCTTGAGGAACTGTATCTGCGTTGCACATGAAAGTATCGTGGGCTGTGCTACTTTGAGGTTGGGAAGTTATATGTATCACTGATCAACACGTCTTGAATGCATCCATGGTTGGTCCCCTGATACTTAGGGCAGTTGCCAGACATGGTGGGAGAGCGGTTTATAGAAGAGATCATCGTGTGGTTCTCCCGGTCCTGGTTGACCCGCGGCCATTCATATGAAGAATAGACATGGATGTTGGCACTAGCAACCCTGATCTATAATAAGTATATTCTTGATCGTTGGAAAACAGTGACCCCGCCGAGTTAATCAACCTTTTACGGAGTACTCAATGTGTATATCCGTTTCTGTGCGTGATTTAGCCAGTCGCCCGAGAACAAAGAGAATGCTCGTCAACAAGTGGGGATTGTTCATCCCGTCTAGCTTAGGGCTAAGAAGACCAATCAATAGAATGAGGGATAGAAAGGACAGGGGGCGGGAAAGGTATGTATAGATGAAGAAAGCATAAAGGTCTGGACTGGAAACCACATCCACAATCACGGCTAATATCATACACCAGATATCTGAGTGGAACATCAATAGCAGGACCCATGAAGCAAAGCCACGGTCCCGTTTGGATGGCAAACACTAGTAGCGCCCTTCAGTTACAATTCGACCGCGCGTAATTGGACAATGGCTGAAGGCGGGAAATCCGGTTGGGTTCCTACTAGTAGGTTAGATATCCAATGCGTATAAAGAGATGTGGGTTGCAAGTCTAACGCCCGATATTCTTGGCTCTCCACCAGTGCGTCCCGACTTGATCAAAAATAGTAACGACAAATTACTAACAAACGTCTGAGGGAGCCAAAGTCTTTTCTAGATGACTTTGGCGATCCAGTAAGAAGAGTCACATTACAGTAATCTCGGAAACATAGGTTTATGAAGAAAACGTGTAAGTGCGAAGCGTACAAGGCTGAAATAGAGATTTACGCGTCAATGCGCTCCATTGTTCCGAGCTATCGGGGTTTTCAAGGATCTTTCCTTGGGGGCGTTAAGGAAGAACAAAGCGATAAGCCAGGTCAAACTTACTTTTGAACCCCTTGGCTCAGCAGTATACAATCATGCAACTACATGGTTTGCTCACCCCCTGATCAGATATATACTACTTTCACCCTTCACTGGGTTCCCGTTAAAACCCTTCAACAGACATTCCACGGCCCAAGTCAATTGCTAATTGAAGCAAGGCACGGCCAATAGTGAGATCCATTATACCCATCCCGACGCACTTCAGCACAACATTGCCGTGGGGAGTCCGCGATACTTCCGGCACCAGGTATTCTCCTAACTCTATCAGCTGCTCCTCTGTCACCTTGCCATCTCGCAATTCTCCCGATTCCTCCAGACATGCCTCTCTTGAATCCACGAAGATTTGACCACCTCCGGATAGCAAAGTTTCCGTATCAATCTCCTTCATATGTGGCTTATATGATCCAATCAGTGAAATAAAGCGCCGCTTAGAACATGTTTCGAGGAGCGAAAACGGGAATAACGGCTCGGTCGAGGGTGTACAACAGAATATAGCGTCGGCCGCGGCGAGATGGGTTTGAAGCGCTGGTTCATAGTCGGGCGTGTCCTCCTTGGCAATCAGATGAAATGTTACTCTAGGGTATATGGTTCGCAGGGATTGAATGAGATCCTTCTCCAACTGGTTGAGCCGTTGACGGCCTCGGTTGACAACAGTGACACTTTCAACCTCCTCCACAGCAAGGAGTAGAGCGAGTCTGATGTGCCACTCTACCTGTTTCCCCGAACCGAAAACCACGATATGTTTCTTGGGGATGTGGGTGACGCGGGTGAAAAGACACATTGTTGTCAATGCCGTGCGGAATGCAGTTACCTGCGAGGCTCCCAGCATACCAATCATCTCCCCTGTAGGTGCGAACACGAGCGTTACGCCAATTGTGTCTCCTTTGGCTGGTAGTGTGATGGCTTTAATACCGGTATTGGTGGTATCGGAGCATGGCATGAACAAGGTCGTGTCGTTGTTCTTGGTGGCGATCGGGGTTCGCAATGGTTGGTGAATGAGTTTGTTGGCTGTCGTATTGTTCTTGTCACTTGAGTATTGGATCAGGCTCGCGGTTAAGATGTCGACCAGACGCTGACATTGTGGGCGTGAGAGATCACAAATGAGCCGGTAGGCCTCTTGCTCAGGGAGAAGTAGCATCTTGACCAGGGAGTGAGTCTTTCACAGTGGATGCAACTGTTTCGCAAGTCGAGAATCACCTTATAATACTAACTAGAGGCTGTCTTTGAATTATCTTTATATGTTGTCTTCCTCAATTTGCTAGGGTTCGGAAGCACGTTCCGCGGAAGGCGTCTCCGAAGAACCAGCAGATCCACCTTTCATGCACCTTAAGGACTATTGTTAATGCCACTTAATACATTCTACGCTTCGTGAGTAGTCCTAGACGAGATGTGCATATAGTAAACACTTAGCTGCGTTGGTCTATCCTCCCAGTTGTATTCCAAACTACTTCTATAACAGCGTATCTGGAACGAGATAGATGGGCCAATATTTACGATAAAAGTTAGGTTATCAGCGCATCCATTACGACCTGCAGTCATAATCAACAATATTCCGGATTGCGGTTTCTTGAAACATAATACAACCGCTAGTTCCACATATTGCTATACTCAAATTCGAAATTGGTACCCCACACACTCTCTTGAAGGACGTCCAATTGGTCAGCCAGGTTTAGTATCTGCGTATGGTTGATGTCGATGTCCTCAACGTCAATGGCCCAACTAGCAAAATTGTCCGGGGTCGAGGGACGTTGTTCTAGGTCATTTCGGGATACGGTATCTTCATGGTGGGTTCCGAGCTGTTGTTGCTCTACGCGCACGATCTCTTGTGTCATCCGCTGCAGGAGGTCAAGTTCTTTGCTCCGTTGTTTTGCTGCCAGGTCTCCGTTGGCCATCTGGGCATTCAACAACCATGAGGCGGTCGAGATGTAATTTTCCACATCGGGTACTAATGACGGCTCGATGAAAAAGGCGAGAACGACGATAAACGCAGAGAAGAAGGCGTTGTCTTGGTTGAATGGGATGAAGGATTCTGGGATATATATGTCAAAAGGTGTCCTGAGCTGGTAATATACAGTTGCTAGGTGAAAGGTTCACTCACCGAGTGAAGATTGCTCATGGAGTGATATTAAGGTCTTCAGTGAAATTTTGGCGGATTGTAAAGAGGTCTCGAGCAGTGGCCTGAGCTGTGGGGGAATAAATGCATCCGCCGCTCCGTTGTAACCCCGGGGGTTCTTCAGTCGGTGGGTCAGGAAGTATAGGAATAGAGGCGGGTTGCCAGAATGATGCACTATGTGGTATTGGTCATATATCCACGATCATGCGAGGTCCTGCGAGAACGGTGATCTCACTTACCTGGTGGTACAACAGAAACAGGTGGTTGGTCGTAGTGGACACTGTGCGGAGGGTGGGATGCGCAGTCCTGGCAGAGACGGTCTCGATCTCCCGCAGAATATCTGCCATATCTCTTAACACCGACTGAACTGTAGCGATGAAGGATCGCCGTTGTTTACTGTCCGCTGTGTAAACGGCTGCAAGATGGTCAGTATGACGATTTATCACTCAGATAGCCACAGGAAGTAAAAAACCTGAAAGCGGCCGTAGCGATGACTACATGCATTTTATGATATCCCCCACGATCCGAGAAAGCTTGACATGGACTGTCAAAAGTGTCCCACGTTCCGAAGCATCATAAGATGAAGGCAAGGAGCAGGTGATCTCGCTGTCTGGTATCGAGCATGGCGCGCCCACCATGACTGAAAGCTGACGATCTAGTATATATGCGGTCCACCATATATTCCTACCTTCGTTTGCAAACCTCACGCCGAAGAGATCGATGGGTGGCTCTTTTTGGAGTCCCTCGATGATACAGGTCCGGAATGATTGGCCGACCTGTTTGCTGTTAGCGGGGTATACTATCATTATGCGTGATAAAGAAACGCACATAGGCATATGCGGCGTCTTTCATATCCACCGATACTAGATACAGCCCGGCTAGGTATAGAATTTGCATCCCCAGGCTGGGACGACGGTGCAATCCAACCCAATCTGGCATAAGAGACATGGCACGCTCAAAGAAGACATATCCTGGCGGCGAGCTGGAACTCCTTGACTTAGCAGTGGTGCGTTTTGCAAGGGCAATAATTAGGAGATACTGAATGAACCAAAGAGGGGAGCTCCTCGCTTTCTCGAGTCCTGTTTGGTAAAATTCGTGTAGGTGGGGTAGGAATTTCTCTTCGTCAAATAGGAAAAGCATCTGGTAGGAGTGGAACTTAGCCACCTCCAAAAGATATAAGGCATCATGGAGGGATGGGAGTCCTTCCAGAAGCCGATCACTATCCAGATTTGTTCGGGACCAGTTCAACTCCCACGTAGTTCCATCAACATGAAATGGCAGTTCAGGAGCAGGAAATTCAGGCAGCGCTGTTTTCAACAGAAGGAAGACACGTTGAGAGAATGACCAGGTAGACGATGGCCCACAAAAGCCTACAGTCATTAGTACAGACAGAATCCTTCTAGATTCCAAATGGATTAGAGTTCGACTCACGGTATCGCCCAGGGGTGTCTTGAAGATAGAACGATGTGGCAGACACCAAGGGGTTTGTAATTGCTTCTCCATCAGTCGCATTCGCTCCGGATATATGCGTACTTCCTGTAGCCTGTTTAGCATGTTTTTTTTGCTGATGCTAGTTTATCTGCTAACCATGCCCGGGTGACAAGTCGGCATTGGGCTCCGGAATTGAATCATCTTCCGAGCTCGCCCGTGTCGAGACCTGTTTCTCTTGCTTCTTGGCATAGGATTCTTGTAGTTTGCGTAGATAACTAACAATTACATTTTTAAGTAGACTGAAGGTAGGCAGTAGGCTGTACGGTTACCTTTCAGACACGATCACTCTCTTTTCTGCTTGTTTGAAGATGCATTGCAAATCGCGAGCGATGCATGACTCACAGGGGCAGCGTCCCGAGCATTTGACCTTTCTCTTCTTACACTGCTCACATCTGTCAAGACGGTCAGTGAATCGCTCGAGCAACAAGGTAGGGGATTGGCGATATAGGGTAGAGCTACGCATTGGCCACCTTGTCCAACTGTCTCCGCTGACGGACTCTAGAAGCCATGCTGGACCAATTTTATGATTTATTCACCACCGTGCGGCATGGGTTGATGGGTAAGATGTATTATCAGGTAAAGGAAGGAAGCGATATGGACGGTGACCACGTATTAACAAGCATGGCGTACAGATGAGACGTCAAGATTTGTTCGGAGGGGTCTTCCGAATCGACCCACACGGCGATGAGAATTCCTCGGGGACTTGTCCGACTATAAATCGCGGCAAGCCGGTCACAATGAGATTTAATGTTGAAACACGGGCGCCATAATGAGTTTTTATTTTCTTGCCCAGATCTTCGAAGTAGCATAGAGGGTGCAGATATAGACATGGTCAACTAATAATTTTTCTTCCCCAAATAGACGAATATTGAATGTCTTGACAGTTCTAACCATCTCAATCTATTCTAGCTAGTACTTAAATTAAACTCCTACCGATCCAGCTATTCCACAATCTAGCGGTATAGGAACAACAGATCATGAGACCTATATTAAGAGGCTGGGGAGGCCTCGCCATCGGGCATCTACGGCCTATCTTAAGATCCTTATCAGGTAGTGAACCAAGGATGATTCAAAGCAACTTGCTACCACGGGCTGGGTGACAAATCGAGAGTAGAAGAAATCACCTACTTCACTCCAACAATCGATAATTCAAGTAGAAGCCAACATTACGCCAGGCTAAAGAAGCCCCTACCAGTATCTCCAGCAGCGGCCAGAAAGCACTCGAGAATCATCGATAGAAACAAGATACGAGGCTGACATGTTTTTCGCCCCTCGCAGGTTAGCCTCAAGTGCTTACTACTCCGATTTCTACATTCAATGTTGGTTTAATTGGCTAGGGCTTCCACGTGATTGGTTATTGATCTCAGCATATATTAAGACGGTTGCCTGAAATGCGGCCCAGTAAGATAGACATTCACTTGTCCCTTTTTCATCATTCTTCCAGGAATTGTAGCGGCCATGGAGTTCTATCCAACGATTGCAATCCTCCTACTGGCGATACTAGGGGTATACACCCACCGGTTCGTTATACGCCGTCAGCTCGCACGCCGCCACGGCTGTCAACCAGTCGCGAGATCTGCCAGCAAGGATCCTTTCCTGGGCCTGGATATAATCCCCGGGACAATCCGCGCGATCAGGCAGCATCGGATTCTCGAGAGAGGTTGTGAGTTTTTCGCGTATATGGCAACACCTTCAGAGTCCAGGAGCTGCACCAAAGTGCCATCGTCACGATCGAGCCTGAAAACATCAAGACAATTCTATCGCTGAACTTCAAGGACTATAGCCTGAGACACCGTCTCGAGCCATTCAAACCGCTCTTGGGAGAAGGCATCTTCAACACCGATGGCGAACACTGGGCCGCATCGCGCGCGCTGATCCGGCCGAGCTTTGTCCGTGAACAGGTAGCCGATCTAAGCCTGTTAGAGAACCTGATGCAGGATCTTTTGGTGTTGCTTCCGCGAGATGGTACCACAGTGGACTTGCAGGCACTATTCTTCCGCTATACGATTGATTCCGCGACGGAGTTCTTGTTCGGCCAGTCTGTTGGCGCATTGAAGAAAAGCCAGTCGGAACTCGCGTTTGCAGAGGCCTTTCACTATGCCCAGAAAGCGATTCCCGTACGGGGCATGCTGGGTCCGTTGAATGCGGTGTACCGTGATCGAAAGGCGGACGAGTGTAATCGCATCTGCCGGGACTTTGTACAGCAGTTTGTCGACGAGGCTGTCTATGCTGCTGAGGTGAGGAACGAAGGTAAGGAGACCACAACCACAGAAAGGAAGCGGAAGTATATTTTCTCGCATGAGCTGGCGTCGCGCACGTCCGATAAGCGGCGTATGGTAGATGAGTTGATAAGTGTGCTCCTAGCCGGGCGGGATACAACAGCCAGTTTACTCGGGAATCTGTTCTTCATGCTAGCGAAGAATCCGGCGATTTGGAAGAAGCTGCGTGCTGAAGTGGATGTCTTGCAGAATCGGCCACCGACGTATGAGGAGCTTCGCGGGCTGAAGTATGCTCAGTGCTGTGTGAATGAATGTATGGCTCCCTACCCCTTTGCCCGCGTTTCTCCCACTAACCTCAAAACCCTCAGCCCTTCGCCTCCATCCTGTGGTGCCCCGTAATCAACGCGAAGCGATGCAAGACACGGTACTTCCACTGGGCGGAGGTGAAGACAGCCTCTCGCCTGTTTTTGTCCCAAAAGGAACCCTAGTCTGCTACGATCTCTACGCTATGCATCGCCGCGCCGACTTCTACGGACCAGATGCAGAAGAATTTCGCCCCGAGCGCTGGGAAGATGGTAAACTGCAGCCACGCTGGGAATACTTGCCGTTCAATGGCGGGCCGCGGATCTGCCTTGGCCAGCGCTATGCCTTGACCGAAGTGAGCTACGTTCTTGTCCGCATGGTGCAAGAGTTCTGCGGGCTAGAGAGTCGGGATCCGGGGCCATGGGAGGAAGGTCTGGCTTTGACGCTTTGTTCGAGGAATGGAACTAGAGTTGGGCTGATTCCATGACTGCGTACATAACTATATCCTCTCTTGCTTTGTAATAACCTGCCGCCAACTAACAGTCCTAGCAACACATTATAAATTAACAGTTGATGCTTAAGCTTACGGAGCACCAAAGGCCTGGTTCTGCGGTGGAACCGTGCAAATTAAGCCAGCCTGGACAGGGTAAAAGACCGGTATATTAGAAATAAAAGTGGAATCGTACGTGGAGAGCTAGGATGGCCTACTACGCTTTAGTCCCTCCCAACCAGGGTATCATGACGATGTAGCTCGAGCAGAGTTCACTCTTAGTACTACCGTCTTGGGCTTAGCGTGGGTCGGTTTATGCTCGGGTCAAGTTCGGGGAATCGCGAATATATGGAAGAACACAACCATGGAACCAGCTCAACCTTCCAAATATGATCTAAGTCAGTGGGGATTGGCATTATCGTTCATTCCTAAGCTAATGGGGATCGCTCTCTGCTAGCCTCGACAGTCACATATAAACAAATGTCATTAATTCTATTAGCAACCCCCGTGGCTCTGCACGAATTGGGGTTCGGCCAAACATCGAGTTCAGCTGGTGTAAGAGTCGTATAAAGTACAAGTATTCCCATAAATACATAAGATGTTCCCAAGTATATCCCCGTTAACCCAGATTGTTGCCATCCCATGAATGTCTCTCACGCTCGTATCCGTAGAGGTCAATAGTGGAAATCCGACCGGGCTTACGCGACCAGAGAGGAAGAGGAGGTCCGGTGTAGCCCTTTTATAGATCGAGCGGGGAGGCGGCGAAGCTATGAGCCAAGCTGGCCTTGTCAATCTCATTAGATCAATAGTCCTGCGGCGACGGGTGCCAACCCGTATAGCGCACTGCTGATACTGAGGAGGCTTTCCGCGTGGTTATCCGCGATCTTGGGGTACTTGTTCGCATCGCTGGTATCGCACTCGCCCCACGGGTTGGTCGTGCTCAGGGTGCAGTTGGCGTGGTCTCCGTGATCATTCTTGAATTGCAGATCGCCGGTGTCCCAGTTGACGGTGACGGAGGCAGTTTCACAGATTTCCTTGGTCTCGATACCCTTATTCTTGCCACACTTCTTCTTGAAAGGGTTGGAGCTTCCCTGGCAGCCAAAAAGCTCCTCATCGATGATGACGGTACAGTGCGTGACGTAATTGTCAGCTGGTGGTTGGGTAGACTTGATGTAGATGTGGGCGCGAGATGGTCTGCGCCAGGGCAAAGGCAGTGCCGAGTTTAAGGAGCCAGGAAGACATGGTGAACGTCAATGCAGGGATAATGGACAGCAACAGGCGGTCTGGGAAAGGGAATTGAAGTGCGTTGGAAACCAGCTATGGCCTACCAGAGGCGCGAGTTGCCCTTTATAATGTAGTGTCATCTCTGCCGAGTTTGCCTCCCCCGGCGAATTCGGCTCATCAGGGTACAATCTTTCATGTCGAGCCATCTTCAATGACTAAAGGTATGTTTGGAGATGATCAGAGACTCCACCGATGAGCAAATCCCGCAGGGGACGACCCTGGGTGCCAATGCCAGACCCTGAAGCCCTAGCGCCAATACCGGGCATAGTAGCGGCGATGCAACCGTCAGGGCTGAACGCGCTCCACTCTCCATCACCAGGTCTGTGGCCATTATCCGGCGCACCCGGATGCTTAAAATCACTCGCTGTAACCTCGACGACTGTTGAAAAATTCTCATCATTAGGTAGTCGGATTTCAGTAAGACCACCCCACGGAAAATCTCTCAAGGATGCTTGGATCTCCTCAGATGAGATCACGGGAACGGTATCCAACCGGTTTGATGGGTTCTAGTCGGACAGGTTCATATCTATGGCACGCCTAATATTAGTAGTAAGTATAGCTCTGACCACCATGATTCTCGCATCTAGAGACTTCTCGGTGCCGATCTACCCGATAAACCAAGCCTTTTGCATGCTGGTCGAACCTCTTTCTCTTCCTATTGGATGCTCAGCTGCAAGGACCTGGCTACGGGCTATTACAAATGTCACGAGAGATGAAGACCGCGAATACTCCCCAGTAATGCATGGGTCATAGTCTATTAGACGTCTGATAATTAGTCTTTGTATTAGTCTGGGAGTTGCAATGGTCACCACAACTTTGTGAGAGGAGATATCTCGGATGTGCCGGAGATGCTGCGGAGGTCGAGGCGAAAGCCCCTCATCTTGATATGCCAGCCCATTTCTGAGACGGTCAACACAAAAGGTTAAGCGCCCAATAAGGATACACTACAAACCAATTCCGAACAAATAAAATCGGGGAGTTTGTCAATGGCGGATCAATAGTAAAGCATCATGTCATACTTTCCAGTTCACAAGCCCTAGAAGAATCTCTTTTTGGTAGGTCTTCAGCGACGGTTTGTGTGAATCCCAGTTCGCTTATGGCAATAGCAGGTAGATAGTGTTGCCAGTGGAATAAGCCACACCAGGTTGCCTCCACTTTTGGATCTTCCTTTGGGCAATTGCCAGTAGGAGTGGAATGTTGGATTCGGCGAAGTGCCGCTCAAAGGCAGAAGTCGCCCACTTCATCGCAACAAATCTCCCACGTCGGAAGTACGAACTAGGAAGAACTAAAGATATGCTTTGCATAGATCCGAGTGCGAGTGTACATGTAAGAATCCAGTTACTCTTCATCTCTTGGTTTCAACTGCCGTTTGGACCCCAGCGTCTAGCAAGTCCTTTGCCATGTCGTCCATTGTACGGCTTATCGTCTCAGTAATGGGAGGTAGAATGAGGGCTGTCTATGACATAGCGGCAGAGGAAGGCTTGGTCCACGCTCGCACGGTGCTCACACAAATATAGTGAGGGATCCACCGCCCTTGTCGCTGCTGCTGACACACTGCGAGTGGTGCCCAGACCGCGTCGGAAACAAGTCCGAAGGTAGAGATGGCCAATCTCACAAACATAATTACCGACAACTGGATTTCATTATACTATGTTTACCTTGAACACCCACCTTGCCACATAAGAAAACTGGCGATTCAACCAAATGCCCGTCTATAATGCGTTTCAGAGTCTGGCTAAGCCTCTTGATTGACCGTTCCATAGTAACCAGACAATCAACATCAACATACCGTATCCACTCGCACTTCTCCCGAAGGCCCAGCCTGTAAGGTTCCAACCAACCCTTCAATTCCGACTAGAGTCTCTATACAGCTCGCGGATCAGATCTGCCAATCGCTGAACCTCATGCTTATACCAAGGCATGGCGTGGTGATAATCAACCTCATATACCTTCGCTGTATTTGACTCATAATACATCCCATGTTGCTGCTTGCCCAATGCCAAAAACATATCCTTCAGTCCATGAACATGTAGCGTGGGTATCTTGATCAAGTCGGTCGATCCCATGGTGGCCATCTCTGTAACAATCCAATGGTCAATATCACCATCCAGGTCATCAAAAAAGCAAAAGGAAAAGAGGAGCATACGATGACCGATCTCCGAGACCATGGGTGCACCAGCACCCATACACAACACCCCAAATTTCAGTTGCGGAGTGCTGCCCAGTTCCCCCAACGCTGTCCTCTGCTGCTGATCCAGTAATAGCCCACTGGTGATGCGAGTGCCCTGACTGAATCCCATCACGCCGACCCATTCCCCACCGGGCCCCGCCGCTTCCATCAATTTCCACACCCGCTCCACACCGTCCCGCCCCGAAATGTCGTACCCACTCCCATCGCCCTGCTCGACTTCCGATCCATCCTTCTTGAACCATGACCGGAAAGGCTTGTAATCACGGAAAGCGGGCAGAATGCCTGGTCCTGGCCCGCTTTCGAAGGGCCCATCAAAGTAAACGAATTGAAAGTCATTTTTGAGCAGCCCGGCCAGCTGGGAGCATTGAACCTCGTAGATGGCACCCTTCGACCCACCACCGTGGAAGCAGGCGATGCGCGGCAGAGACCCGGCCATTTTAGCTATAGCGGAATTGCTATGATGATTACCGTGTAGATTGTAGGGCTGGGTGGGGGTTTTGGGGGAATGAGGGTTGATCTTGTTTGGGGTGCGGAGCGAGGAGAAATCAATTCCAGTCGGTGAAGGGGTTGGCGGGGTCATGTGAGATCAGACGCAATTGAATTCCAGGCTCATGCATGATTATCTTAGCATTTGATTCGCAGACTCTCCTCTAGTACCGGCCGGATATCTCTGCATGCTCCATGTCTATGTATGTTGGGCTCGAAAATACCTACCACCAGTTGCCAAGGCGCAATGGAGAATGTTGTCAAAAGAATTGAGTTGACTACATGCTTATACGTGGAACCTCTCATCAGAGTGGGGGCTTCGTCTGCACAGCTCAGGCTAAGTCTTATATATCATAGTGGAGGCTAGGTAGATTTTCTTTCACAAATAAGCCAGGAATAACTCCTCACTCACAACCATTGTGTATCATGCAAGCTAGGAACCACATTAAAGCTGAGTAGTACCAACACCATCCTAACCAATATCACCATCAGCAAATGAGCATACCAGTATGTGTGTTGCTCGAGCTGAGGATCTGACCATGCCAGTTCTGGACGCTCAGGCAGTGGTACGAATTTAACGGTGACCTCACCTGCTGCATGCATCTTTGGAGAACCATTCGGCAATAACATGTTTGTTTCGCGTAAGGTAATATCTCGCAATGAGTCGGTCCCACGACCCAAAAAGTGTCATGTGGCGGATTGCTCGCTTAACCTAGGGGAAGATGAAAACTATATTTAGTCCGGATTTGAATTCTTTATGGAGCTATGGGGCCTTGATTGGAACACTGTTGACCATTCCTCCGTGCATTCCTGTCTTCAGAAAGCCAAACGCACCACTGAGAAAAAAAAAAGTTCAATACCTGTTACTGAGTACCATACCTAGATCATACCGTGCCATTGATCACCAACACGAAAGCCCTGGGGGAAGGGATCCTCCGAGTCTAGCACGACCGTCTGATAACCTGTGATCCACGCCCGACCCTGGATAGTTGGCAGCACGGCCGGGTAATTGGCAACATTAGTCGTCCCCCTAATATGCGTGATAAACTGGGTTCCCAAGATGCTCCGGTGCACAAACTTCTCCCCTACGGCAATCTGTCCTCGAGCATGTAAGACGGCTAGACGGGCCGAGGTACCCGTGCCACAAGGGCTTCTATCGAATCTGCCTGGAGACGTAACAACGGTGTTAATCGCCGTCTTGCCGCTGCCGTCCGGAAGGTCTTCGACAGGCTCAGTAAACTCGAGAACGCTATAGCCAAAGATATCAGGGTTCTCGGGATGTGCCGGGGCGTAGGCTGCGCCAACCGCCTTCTTGATCTTCTCGCCAACCTCGACCAGCTTGGGACCTTCGGCGTTCCGGATTCTCAGACCCAGGGATGTCGCGTCGACGAGTATATACATCATGCCTCCGTAGGCAATATCCACTGATACGGTGCCCAGGTCAGGAACGTCTATCTTGTAATCAAGCTGGAAAACGAATGACGGGACGTTATCAAAGGCCACGCTCCTGCATTTGCCGCCCTGGCACTCAGCCCTCACTTTGACAAGCCCCGCCGCAGTGTCAAGCGTAAGCTCCGTCACGGGCTCTTTCATAGCGATCATGCCGGTTTCTAAGAGCACTGTGACCGTGCATATACTGTTGGACCCCGACATCGGTGCATATTCTTCGTTTTCCATAATTAACAACCCGACATCAGCGCGGGGATCGCAGGGAGGAAGGACCAGGTTCACATGCTTGCCTGGCCGTCCTCGAGGCTCGTTGAGGAGAAGAGACCTTACCTCATCTTGCTTGTATAGGAAGTGCTGTCGCTTCTCGAACATGGTCTTTCCGGGGACGTCGAGTACCCCGCCGATTATCACATCCCCGACTTCACCCTCGGCATGGCATCCGACCACGGAGATGGTTCGTGAGGTAGGCATAGCTGAATGTTTGATGTGAGCGGTGTAAACGAAGTGAAATCGTACCAAGCGCAATGAGAATTCTAATTGTAAGCGTCCTTTGCTCTCCTCTCGCTTATTTATATGCTATACGGCCGGAGCATGCGTCCGAGACGGAATCCTCATCCGTACGTCCGCTGCCTGAAGGCAACTAATCACCCGGCACAAAGAACGATCACGATCGTCTGCAAACCACTCGAAAGAGGACAAGAAGCGGGCGATCGTGGAAAGATAGGTCTCGGTATGGGTTTCTGGACCTGCTGAGCGGCACTTGTTGGATTTCTCCCCGCTTGGGGCGGGGTCGCGGCAATAAAACTAGGTTTCTGTAGGTCTCAATATCTGGCATTTTGCCTGCATCCAACCCGAATGCGAAACTCGAACGCCTTCGCGATTTCCCAATCTTTGTTTCACCTTTGGCATTTGACTGCGCCCTGTTCTGACACACTGCTCACATGGGGGTTGGTGATATCAGTAGAAGACGAGAAAATTCGCGGTCTACCACCGAGGGCATCACTCCGACAATCCGTCGTAAATGCGATATGATAGAAAAAAAGGGTCCAAAGAGCTGAATATATATTGGTCAATGAGTATGCGAGATTAGGTCAGTACGGTAAGTGACACTAGGTTGCATGAGCTCAACGCAAATAAGATCGATGTCAAAAAGTGACTGGCTTGATGTTCATAAGCATTGGGCTCCACTGTTGACCCTAATAGAAACTCAAAGAGCTGTCAATATCTGACATGTACAAGGAGTCCTGGTGACGAAGCAAAACAAACATTATTTTTTTTGGACGATGTGGCTATATATATCTTTGCCAGATATTGAGGCTATACCCAACTCCACTAGGTCAAGCTTCTCTGGGTCGCAAAAGCGAAAATCATGGCATATGGAGACACCACACGAACGACACAACCTTGACATTTGGGATCCACCGACACTACGACAAACAGAGTATAGACACGTCCCCTTACTGCGTCGCAGATCCCAAATAAAGAACGTCCGCGCGTTTGTACCCAATAGCTAAGACCCAATGCGCATCCACTGCGCCAAGTCGCATGCCACGTAGTCAGACACAACAACCACCCAAGCACCAGTGGGATGGCGTTACGATCCTCCCCAGTCTGATCATTCAGTCGGACTTACCACGGTCGGAAATGGTGGCACAATCTAACACGATCGGAAAAAAAAAGGAAGTGGTGAGGTGGCTGGTGAACTGACCGCTACTTGATATCGATGGACCCATTCGACACGACACTAAAAGTGCCCACTTCTCGGTCCCAACATGATACAAAGTCCTCCATGACGACAGGCGGCTGTTTGGGATTCCACCATTTCTCCCGGCCATGATGCCCTTCCTCCCCATCTTGCTCGTCCTCGCCGGGCTCACGTTTTTGTTCCGGCGCCGGCGATACAAGGCCATCGAGCAGGACGAGAGTCCGCGGGTGGTCGTGAAAGGGCATACCTATTCCGATAGCGTGGAAGAGATAGAATTACCGCAGTTGAGAAGCGAGAAGGTCGAGAATGTTCGGAAAGCTTGCATGATAGGCGCGGGATATGTGGGTATGGATCATGGCTCGTGCCGATTAATTTCGTATGGTCGCTAATCTGTTTCCTCCAGGTGGATTGACGGCACTGGTGCTTGCGTCGCAGAACCCACACATTCAGTTCTCTGTCGTGGATAGTGATGCTCGTCTCATTGCCGCGTGGAATTCGGATCGGCCGCCTGTCTTTGAGCCAGGACTGGAAGATCTATTATTTGAGCCTAATGAGCCACTGCCATTGCCGACACCGTCGCCATCACCAAAGCCAGAGGGCGCACAGGATGAGGATTGTCTAAAAGATTCAAGTAATAGTACCAACCACGCGGAGCTCGTCGCCCTATTACCGCGACGCCGGAAGCTCGCCAATGTGAGCTTTTCGACTCATATGCATGAAGCCGTGGCGGCGGCGGACATGGTCTTCCTGTGTGTAGACGCACCATCCAGTATCATAAACGGCGACAAAAGCGATATAGACCTGTCCCGCTTGGAAGTCGCCATCCAAGCGATCGCACAGGTTTCGACAGGCCACAAGATCATAGTCCAGAAAAGTACCGCACCGTGTGGCATTGTACCACGGCTCAAGAAGCTCGTAAGTCTCATAGAATCGTAACTTGTTGTGTCCCTAACAGTTGTAGTTGAAAGAGACGGCCTCGCCATCGGCATCTTTCGATGTTCTTTCCAACCCCGACTTCCTCGTACCTGGTGCAGCTATCAGAGACCTCCTATATCCACCCCGCGTGATCATCGGGCATGTCTTCTCGGAAGATATGTCGCCCAAGGCATTGACGGCGCTGAAACGATTATATTCCCCATGGGTTCCGGACGATCGCATCGTGACCATGGATGCATGGTCATCGGAACTCGGGAAGGTAGCAGCCAACGCTTTGCTCGCCCAGCAGATCAGCAGTCTCAATTCCCTTAGCGTTCTCTGCGAGTCGACCAACGCCAATATCAACTATGTCTCGGAAACTCTCGGATTGAGTCAGCGATCGGGACTAGGATTCGGCGGATCGAATCTGCAATCGGACGTGCTGTGTCTGGTGTATCTGGCGAGGGAGTTGGGGTTGCAGGAGGTCGTTGATTACTGGATGGCGGTCCTTCGAATGAACGAATACCAGAGGCATCGAGTTGTGAAACGCTTGATCACCCGACTAGGAGACGTGAAAGAGAAACGAGTAGCGGTTCTCGGCTTTGTGTCCAAGGGAAACGTGATGGATACGCGGACCACGACGGCATTGGGCTTGGTACGAACATTGACCAGCAATGGGGTGCGCGTCAACATCTATGATCCGCACGTCCAAGCCGACCGCAGCGAGAGCACGCTGCGACTCTACGACTGTCATCCAGAAATGGTGACGGTGACCGAGTCCATTGAAACGGCGTGTTTCGGATGTAGTGCGTTGGTGCTCCACACCGATTGGGAGGAGTTCCGCCAGGACCAGGTGCGATGGCAACGTATCGCTGGCCATATGGCGAGTCCGAAGGTCCTTTTGGATCCTCATGGCGTCTTTGATGGCTTTAAGATGCAGCAGTGGGGATTTGAGGTATTGCAGGTTGGCATCCGGAGTGCGAAGGTGCTGTGAGCTGGTATAATATTGTTTGTATTGTATCATGTATGCATTATGACGGCGATTGTGAGCGACTTGATTGATTTTATAGTATTCATGAAACTATTAATGCATACATAAGTCTTCTATATACCATAGCCCCACGAATCAGTTACCCCTAGGACCATTCAACAATCCCTGGCCTCACTTCACGTAAATAACATGGAAATCTATAACAACGAGAGTAGTAGGAAATACAATAGTGATGAACGATAACTACACCTCCCCAGCGTGTTTCCTAATATACGCCGCAACCTGGTCAGGAACAACTAACCACGGTGTATGAGCCGTCTTAATCTTCTCCGTCTCAAAGCTGGCCCCCTTCCCCCTCGCCTTCTCCACCATTAACTCCTGCACAAACAACGGAATGGCGCGATCATCCTCACACAGAAGATACGTAGCAGGAATATCCACATAGGCAGTCCCCGTCGCGGGCGAGTTCTTGGTCGCCCACGCATGCGGGCGCAGCGTTGTCGCCCACTCGCGCCCATCGGGGACATCATGAAAGAAGAGCGTGAACGGATCATCCGCCGTCACTGTCGCATTCTCGGCCTGTTTTATACACGCCTCAGCCTCATTCTACTGGACTAAAAGAGTAATGGATTCTCGTGGAAAGGAAAACTTACGTCCATCACATACCACTCCGGCGGCACGCCCCCAAAAGCCCCAATCAAGCTCTCTCCGATCTCCGGCAAGAAGGCCGAGATGAAAATCAGCTTCGTCACGCCGCCCTCTTTGCCCTCCTTTTGTCTTTCGGCTCGGCTCAGTCCCTCGAGCGCACTGTTTACGGGTAGGCCGGACCAGCTGTGCGAAATGATGACCACCTCTTGACCGGCATTCACGGCTGGTTCAACTAGTGCCCGCACGGCGCTGATATCGCCCGTTAGGTCTTTGACTTCCGTTGCCTGTTGGATCGAAGGGAAGGAGACGGTTTGGCAGGTGTAGCCGTGTGGGGCCAGTTTGGCGATGAGTGGGTCAAACGCTGATGATGGGTACCAGGCTCCTGGGGCGAAGATGAGCGTTGGCTGTGACATTTTGGATATTTCTTCAGGATACGGTGGTTCCGAACGATATAGGGTACAGGGAAAAGGGAACGGAAGTCGTCGAATACAGCCGAGCTTAAATGCTTCTGTCCCGAAGATATCGACGATCGGATAGTTTAGCCCCCAAGGGCAAGAGCCAATAAACCATCATTTGGGGAGTCTAGTTGAGAGCTAAACGGTGTGGTGGATCAGAATCTCATATCAACATTGCACTCTGTATTGGGTCCTATTGGTTCTCTCGTGTATACTCCACAGCTAGTCGTGAGGCTAATCCTATGCAGGGAATGACCACGTACGCAATGAGACTACGTTTACCAATGATCTAGATCCTGGCAGTGCTTAGTATAGATAATCGTCCGTTGATTCGGCAATCTAATTTCTATCTATAATTGGGACATTCAAACCATCGAGGCTTTCGATAATGAAATAGCATAAGGACCTTCTCACAGCCTCCAGTCAATCAATACATCTACTCTATAGCCTTCGCCACGGTAAGCAAGCTTGACCCTATCTCAGAGTTTGGGCTTCCTCGATAATGTGCCGATATGCTGTTTCCATTTGTCATCGACCGTGATCTTGTTGCGACGCGGTATATCATTCCACCTCTGAAGGTGCTTCTGGCGCTCGGCGTTCCATCTAGACAGTTCAGCATCGCTAAATGTAGCAATCGCATTGGCGCAATCCATAACTCGTTCCATTGGAATTAAATGTCCTGTTGGCAGCGTCACCTCCTTCACTCGTTGCCGACTAACGCCACCATTTCCACCAACACCAGTACCTGTGACGTCCATCTTGGCCTGACGAGCGGCGGGTGACGATAATTCGGAACTTTCTCCAAAGACGTACAGAACGCTGGGTTTCATCTCGCCCAAACGACGGAAAAGCTGCGCCGGTTCTGGTCGGTAAAACGGATAGCTCTCCTCTAAATCGTCCGGATGCATGTCGTTTTGCCATTCACCTTGCTCAAGATCTACTCTTCCTCCTTCGTACGTGGGTCGCAGAAACGTAAATACTTCCTGGGCTTTGGGGGTGGTCAATGTCACTGGTCGTGGGCCGAGTTCACTAGGCTCCGGATATATCTCGGTCGGCCCTTCACGAAGTCCATATTCCACGAATTTTTCCAGCACACGTGGGTCCCATTTTTGATATACCCTGTTGCTTTGAAACCTTTGTATGGCGTCTTGCTTTGTGGGCCATATGTCGCGTCTGTAGCTCGAGGCAGGCGCATAGTCCTTGCTGGGGTTCTCGGTCTGAATGACGGGATCGATCAAAACAAGAGCCTGGAAGAGCGATGGGTGCAGCAATGCTAAATTGGCGCTAAAAGTCGCATGATATTAGAGCTCCGAGCACATAGGTATATATAGCGGTTACACATACAGGTGCATGCCACCCATGCTATGTCCGACTCCGATGATAGGATGGGGCATCTCATCTTGATACTGATTAATCAAAAAGAGGAGATCTCTCGCGTGATCATCCCAGCTAGCTGAAGAAGAGTCAGTAGAGTGACCCTCTACGTTGGCAAGACAGGACGACACGCACGATCATTGCCAAGAATTCTCTCGTTCAAGACACTACTCTGGCCTTGGTGAGCAACATCTGCGATCCATATGCTGCGAATATTCCTGCCCATGGACCTCATTCGCTGTTCCAGGTCATCCCATAATGGCTCGTACAGTTCCTAGCATGGTCAACTTGCGGTTCCTAGGTACGTTCGCGCGATCGGCGATCTGTTACCTTGGGAAACCCGTTCGCGTGCGCACCAATAATCGTGACATCGCCCGGAGATGGCTTTTCGTTCGATTTCGGGATGTATTGTTTTACCGCCAGACGTAGCTTGTTCGCTTGGCCTGGTTCCGTCGCGCCGAATCGGTCTCGGATATGTTGGGCTCGGACCGTGTGCTCGACCACCCGAAACTGCGACATGGTTCGCACGAATGGTTGGGCTCTGAGAACAGTGTTTCTGGTCGCAAGGGACGTAACTCTCCTGGCGTTATTTCTCCACGCAAGGACATTCATGGTGAATCCCATACCCTTGTTGTGGACGCTATCCCAAATGGTTGGAGAGAAAAAGCGCCATATTTCCCTACAGCCGAGGCACTGGGAAGGCACACCCTACGCCCTATGACATTGGCATTAGGGTTTGCGCTTTCCCCGGCGATAAGCGCCGCTAATTGGCGGTCGTGCTGCGTGTGGGTACCGCATGTGAGGCCCTGTTTTTTATACTAATCATCTTCTCTTAAACTAAATTTAGCCATGACTTATAAGTACCGTTGTACAGTACTGGCTCCTCCTCGGGCCGAGAGGTTCGCAGATAGTGATAGCTGTTCTGCACATGTGAGATACTGTTATCCAATCCTTCTAGAAGTCCAGTTTTGCTCCGTTACTACCTAGGAGGAGTATCGGAAAGAAGTCCGATCTATGTCAAATCTGGGGGGGCAGCCGGAGAACCGTTACCATCCTACACTAACGAATAAAACTCGGCCGGGCAATCCGGGAAGGTGAGACGAGCAGAGGTTCGCCCGATACCAGAGATCCTGATCTTTCGGCAGCGAAGATGTTAGATTAAGCTTTTAGGGCTAGATAGAAGGCGTCCACTTGAATTTAATGCATCTGGCTAGCCTTCTATGTTTGCTCATTGCGGTTTGCAAGAATAGCCCTCGATGCAGCATCACGCTGTCCTTTACTTTGACAATCTGACCAAACACAATTAATAGATTGGGAGTTCATCAGCAACTACATTCAGATTCTATAAATGATCCTGCTCTAGGCAACCTCCTGGTGGGATGCATCTGCGGCCTTTTCTTCCGACACACTCTGCTGGCGCCGCGCAATCTCCTCTCCAAACTTATCCTGGAGTTTGTTCGACTGCCACGGCTTCACGTTCGACTCGAACATCACATCAATTTCTTCAAGGGACCGACGCGCCGTCTCTGGGTACAGGAAGAACACATGGAATGTCATCACCGTGCAGAACACACCGAAGATGATGTATGTCTTCCACTTGATATTGGTGAAGGCGGGAGCGACGAAGTAGGCCAGGGCGAAGTTGAAGATCCAATTGCCCGCGGCAGAAAGACCGACACCCTTCGCACGGTACTTCAGGGGGAACACTTCAGAGGCGTAAATCCAGGCGGTAGGGGCCTGTATTCCTGTCAGTAATGACTCAGACACCCGTTATGAGAAGGTGAAACATACCCAGGTGAGGCCGTACACGCCGACAAAGATGTACGAGAGGGAAATGACCGCCTTGCCGGGAGCTCCCTTGATCTCCCATCGCAGATTCTTGTTACCATCGATCTCATCGACCGGATTACCATAGCTGGCCATGACACCGGCAATAGCATAATGCAGTATCATGCAGGCGACGGCACCCGATAACAGGAGAAAGCGGCGGCCAATGCGGTCGATGTATGGGAGAATGACACCGGTTGTCACAAGGAAAATCACGTATTGGATCGCGGAGGAATATAAAGTGGCGTTATTGTCCTGGAAGAGCGCGTTAGCCAGAAACATTCGTTAGGTCGCGGGAAGCTATTGGACTCACCATGCCAGCCATACTGAAGATGTAGACAACATAGTACATAGCAACGTTACCACCGAGCAGCTGCTGCCACACCTGCACGCTGACACCGCACATGGTGCGCATCCACATATTGGGCCCAAACAAAGCGAGAAATGTCACATCCTTGGCTTCATGGGCGATACGCACAGCCTCCTGCACTTCCTCCCATTCGACCTGCACGACGGGGTCGTTGCGATCGCCGTTACCGTGCAGCATCGCCAGCGTGTCCAGACTCTCTTCCCACCGTTCCTTACCAGCCAGCCAACGGGGCGACTCCGGGAAAAACGGGAGGGCCAACAGCAAGATAAGACCCGGGACAGCTTGGATGCCCCAAGCGACGCGGAACGAGGCTGGGCCGGCGATACCCTTTCCGCAACCGTAGGAGATCAAGTACATGATCAGAATACCCCATTCGATGGCCCATTGCTGGATACCGACGATGCGACCACGGATACGAGCGGGAGCCAATTCTGCCAGATACACACAGACCTGTGAGGAAGTGATACCGACTATCGAAGTTGGTTAGTCTGAGAAGATGCTAGATGGGCTATCATCGGTACGGACCAGAGAGACCGCTGACGACACGTCCAGCGACCAGATGTGCGACATTCTGTGCGCTAAGCTGAAGAACGGCGCCAATAATCCAAATCACACTCGCAATCATGAGGGACATGCGACGACCCACGATATCAGAGATCCAACCAGCAGCGATGGCACCAGCGAAGGAGCCCGCGGACATGGAAGCAGTGATCTAAGCGGCCGGGAGTCAGTTGTCGCGATCAGGCCGACCAGCGTGGGAGGGGATGATACATACACCACCTTGTAAGTTAGAGTCAGGGCTGTTGAAATAGTCGAGATACTGCTTCGTGCCAATCCAGGCACTCATAGAACTATTGTGCCGAATCAGAATCAGCTCGGGGAGATAGTAATATCGCAATGCTTCTTTACCTGACATCGAAACCGAAAAGGGCACCGCCAATGGTGCCAAATGCGGCGAGCACTATGACCGTCAGTTATCTCGCGTTGACAGTCGCTGAAAGTGATCCTGGCATACCATATATGTTTGTAATCCGATACATCTTGGCCAGTAACTAAACCCCAGAATTAACGGCCACGTTGGGTTCGTCCGAAAGGGCTTGACCCGGAGAACCCTGGCGAAGCTTTATATAAGAGCGACTGCATAGGATGTGGTATGGCTCGAACGCGCGAGACATTGGACCGGCGGGCGACCCGTAAGGAGAAGGGATCAACCGTCCAGGGAATGTGGAGGTCCGGGGGACGCCCACGGAGTGCTATGGAGAAAATGGGGATTCGACAAATCAACGGCGTCATGATGTGGGGAGTCTTCCAGGGACTCATCCACTCGGTTGATTCCAAACGGAGATTTTCCCTGTTGGTGAGCTGCGACTTCGGATGAATGGGCATTTAACCGAGACAGACGATGCGTCCTGAATCACAAATGGATGGCATGACGAGACTTGGAATTAATTTGGCCGGTTTTCCCAGGGGGCTCATACTTCTTCCTGCGTCACCGTCTCGGAGACCTTTTCGTAGGCCTACGACGTCACAACTCGTATCCCGTTCGGAATCTTGGCTCGTCGCTAACGCCGCCGAAGGAGGAACCGAGTCCCTCTGGTAATAACTCCAGTCGGGAGATCCATTGGTCCTGACGCTGAATAGACTCCGACGGACTGGGCTCGGTTAACCGGGATAAGCCCTTCGGCTAACATCATGTTCAGAATTCCTGCGTGAAGGAGAATCTTGAGACGGTTGCCGATAGTTCACATGAGTAGGACGGTGGCTGAAATAATTAATATAATATAACAACGATCTTATCTGGCGTGATTCAACCGAGACGGTATAAAGAATCTGGGGTATTGAACCAGAAAGTCTGGAGTCAACAAGAGTCGGCAATCATTTGCTCTCCACTTTTTCTCTTTCGGCCCGCACGTGTGCGGAGTTTGGTCACGGCTCACACCATCGCTTTACTCTCTACCTCTCTCTCTCTCTCTTTCTTTTCACCTGCAACAATGGGCCCATTGCCAACAACCAGCACTTCAACTACGACGGTCACTCATGTTAGGCTCTTTAAGTTCCATTCAACCCAAAAAGAAAAAAAAAAATCATCATACCAGTCACACGGATGCCTAGCCGGGCAACGATTAGCAGAGGAAAGGGGCTCGAGCCCAACATCAGGTGCATTGAATCCACATGTTTAATATACCAACGAGCTTTAGATTGACACACGAGACAATGCGATCCTTCCGACTTGGTATCGGAAGTACCTCCCGATTCCTCGCCCATACTATTGGCTAGATTTCATCCGTAGTTGACGGGATGGCGTCGACTGCATACTCATTTGTATGCTTACCACCCCAGGGCCTCCAAGCTAGCGAAAGCTTCGGTAGCTCTATCAGAGACTCTCTGGTGGAACGCTTGAACCTCTTGGCCTTACTCTACTACGCCGGAAATATCTGATGCGGCCTACGTAGTCGCACGGCGTAGCTCTGTATTTCTTTTGTGGCATACTTTGTGATGTTACTCCCACGTCACTCAATATATCCGCTTGTCCCTGTCTACGTCAACTGTGACTTAGCTTCCGATTGTCTTCATTTGCACACAGTCGGTGGACCAATGCAGAGAGTTGTTCCTCCATGTTGCTACCCGGCAAAAGCAATCCAACGGGAACCTGTGCCCCTACCGGCCGTTACTCTACACAAACTATTCTATTGAACCACCTCAAAGAATTTACAATGAGCACGTCACATTGGAGACAACATATATATGGCTCTGTAATCGGGTACTAATATGTGTGGAGCTTGCCTGTTTCTTTCCTTTCAAACGGATTATCGTCACGTCCTTTCAAGCTGTCCAATCCCAATCTCAACACCCCTTTTCCCTCGTCGTTATCCCACATTCAAACTAAACAACCACCCGCCGATGACACCCCTCTTGATCCATTCCTGGTAGCCGTACCACTCCGATCAGCTGGAATATCGCTGTCACTCAGCAGCACTGAAAAGCCTGTCAGAAAACTGCTCCCTGCGCCGACCCAAGGATCCCTAGGCTACGTGCATTTAGTATCAATCTGCCGTGCCCTTAATCGTTCATTTAGACATACTTGACGACATGATGGCGTCTTTAAGGGAGGCTAAGTTGAGTTCATCGGCACTCGGCAGGACAAGTCAAAAGGCATCGACCACACCTTCGAGCCTCTGGACAGGTTGAATGCCCGGTAGATGACGTGTCGCTCTGTTACTCAATATTGGTAGAAGTTAGGATGATGTCTGAGTAGAGCCGTAGACGTGTTCCCTGCCTTGGGCTTGTGCGACAGGCTCAATCCTAGGAAACGCAACTAACT